TTTTTTTGAAAAAAAAAAAATTATTTTTTTTTCGGGAAAATTTATTTTTTTGGAAAATGTTTTTTTCGGAAAAAAAAATTTTTTCGAAAAGAAATTTTTTCCAAAACAAAAAAAAATTTTTCGAAAAAAAAAAAAAATTTTTTTTGAAAAAAAAAAAAAAATTTTCCAAAAAAAAAAATTTTTTTTTTTTGAAAATTTTTTTTTTTTTTTTAAAAAAAAAAAATTTTTTTTTTTTCAAAAAAAAAAAAATTTTTTTTTTTCGAGAAAATTTATTTTTTTGGAAAATGTTTTTTTCGGAAAAAAAAATTTTTTCGAAAAGAAATTTTTTCCAAAACAAAAAAAAAATTCTTTCCAAAACAAAAAAAAATGTTTTTTGAAAAAAAAAAATGTTTTTTCGAAATAAAATTTTTTTTTGACCAAAATATATTTTTAGTTTTTTAGAAAATTCAATATTTTTTTAAACAAAAACATTCTTTTTTTAATTTTAATCAAAATATAATTTTTTTTAGAAATTTCTTGGGAAAAATTTGTAAAAACTTTTTGGAATTTGGAAAAAAAAGTTAACATTTTGACATTAAGTATTATAGAATTTTTTTTCGAAAAATGTTCTCTAAATGCCCTTAGTTTATGAGAAACATGCAGGACAAGATATCATTTTGAAAAATAATTTTACCAAAATATTTGCTCAAAAGGTTTTAGTTTTTGACTAAATATGACAGGAAAAGTTCACATTCTGACAGAAAATATTATAGAATAAAATTTCTAAAATTGTTATCTAAAGACCCTAATTTTATGAGAATTATGCAAGACAAGGTGGAATTTTAAAAAATAATTTTACATCAAGTTTTGTCAAAATTGTTTAATTTTTGACCAAAAAAGGCACAAAAAGTTAACATTTTGACGTAAAATATTTTAGAAAAAAATTTCTAAAAACTTTCTCTAAATGCTCGAATTTTATAAGAAACATGTAGGAAAAGATATAATTTTGAAAAATAATTTAACCAAAGTTTTTGCTTATAAGTCTTTAGTTTTTGACCAAAAATGACAAGTCAAGATGGAATTTTGAAAAATAATTTTATATCAAGTTTTGTCAAAAATTATTTAATTTTTGACCAAAAACGACACAAAAAGTTTACATTTTGACAGAAAATATTATGGAAAAGAATTTATAAAATTTTTAAAAAAATTTTCTAAATGCCCTTGGTTCATGAGAAACAAGTAGTACAAGATATAATTTTGAAAAATAATCTTACCAAAATATTTGCTCAAAAGGTTTTAGTTTTTGACCAAATATGACATGAAAAGTTCACATTTTGACACAAAACGTTATATATTTTTTTCTCTAAAAATGCTCTCTAAATTCGTCAAAATCTTTTAGTTTTTAACCAAAAATGTTATATACAAATATTTCAAAATTCACCCAAAACAC